GTATCTGATCCTATACAAAAATGGATGAAATTCTTCTCATAAATCTTTTAAGGCACACAGATGTGACTGAAAACCTACCAGATATTTTATTTTACAGAAGTGATTTGCTCTTTACTGCACATTGTGGAAATAGGATAACAGGGGACATTTTACTAAGAGGGATTTTTCTACATAAGTAAAGATTGAACTGTATTCTGTGAATTCAGTATGAAAAATTGACAGGACAGCATCTGGTGGAAATATTGAATTACTTAAAATCTTTTGTTTTTCCATGATGGGTTTGAATACTAACTGTAACAAAGAAAGTGATTGTGTAGGTGTATCATGATAATAGGCAGCTCATCTGGCCTTTTCAGTTAGCTTGCAAATTAGACATGTATTCCAATGATTTACAGAATTTTCAAAAACTTACAGATTTTCGTACCACTAATTGAGTTGTTTCAGGCTTAGCGTCTTTAAGAGAAGCAGATGCCACCAAACTACATTAATAGTTAAAAGAGGACTATAAGGTGGAATAGTTGCCCTTCTCAATGGAAGCTGCTGATTTGATTATTAGAATTATGTTTAATGAATTTGGGTATAAATTTTTTTTCTAGTTCTTAGTGTAGTGCTTGTTGCACAGTTCTAGCTGTCCATGAAGGCAGAATACCAATTACAAAAGTGTCGTTAAATACAGAGAATATCCTCTTACTTTGTTAATTATAGCAGTTTGGTGGGTGGCCAGGCCTGACGGATGATGAAATGTCTCAAGAGAGCACTGGAGCCCCCATTTGTATGCATTTGTAGAACCAAACATTTCTGGTCCTTTTCTCTGCTACCTTGTCATTCAGCTGTACAAGTGTGCTGCATGAACTCTTTAAAGGTTTGCTGTTGCTCTGGTCCCATGGGTTCACAGTGCCCAAACTAGGGAGTAGTATATGGTAAAGCCATTAACAATTTCATTATTAGAAAGATACTGTCTGTCAAAACAGATGTTAAAAGAAGTGAGGTAAGACAGGTGTCCCACCACATTATCAAACATATTTTATTTGTTTCAGTAACCTCAGTAATACATTTGATTTTATTTTTGTCTTTCAGTAATGTATAACTCATATTTCACATTTTTAAGATTTCTAAACTCTAGGGCCCCATTTTCTTTTTAGTTGAAATGAAAATGCTACATTAGGAAAGTGAATATAGGGATACATAAATAATGTATTTTGCCAACCTCAACAGCAGGCTTCTGTCAGAAGAGAAATTTTGTTTCTGTGTTTTAAAACCCAAGACTGTTCTTTAAAGGTGAAGAAGTGTGGTCTTTTCTTGGAGACTCTTGAATTCCCTTCTAAGGATCACAAAATTTCCATGCTTTTAACAAATTAATTTGTGTGTATTTTGTTATTTCAATAGCCCTGAATGGAGTGTTTTTTTGTTTTTTTTTAATAAGGTTTAAGCTTCTGTTTGTCTCAAATTGTTTTGAAGAGTGATATTTTAAAAGGTGGTTAGCTGGACTTCTGTTCAGTTGCCTTCAAGAGCAGCTAATGTCTGGTGAAGAAGTCAGCACTAGTGCAAACTGCTTCATGATAAATGTGGTAGGCAAAGGTTTATTTCGCCTCTCAGTCTGAGTAGTGTTAGAAGGCAGTAAATTAATGTGCTTGTGAAGATATGAGCTGAGGGCTCTGCTTTGTCCCCTCCCTATCCCCCAGTGCTCTAGATGTTCAGGAGGCTCTAGTGGAAAAATGAAAGATCATATCAAAAACCTTGGCTGTAAAGTTAAATCTCTGACTTTGGGAATGTAGTATTTATTATGCATGCATTTTCAGCTTGCTAGTTTTTTCCTTTCATTTATTTTGTCCAAGATCTTTTAGTCAGGTCCAGAACAAAGGTATGTACTTAAAAGAATGTTCTGTACCACATTTGACCTGATGGCTGTGCAGTAGTTCCTGGTGCTGGGGAAGCTGTGAGCGAGCCTTTGGTGCTCTAGTGCAGTGTAACTCAGATGGAATTTATAAATTCAGGAACACAGTTTAGTTCTGTTGTAGCACTTTTGTAGTGCTAGCTGTGGGATGAGTGTTGTTAATTGGCACTGGCTTGTCTTGAACACCATACTGAAATCTCACAGGTTTTGATGAGCATTAAGATCTGAGAAGTATAAACAGACTATTTGCATGGTCAAAAATAATAAAAGGGTGGTAATGGTTAGTTACATAGTCAGCAAGCAGAAGAGAGCTCAGTGAAAGACCTCGAGATCTGCATGTGCTGCTAGACTTCTACAAGACATTTTGCTAAGACAAATATGTTGGATTTTAAAGCATTACAAATTATTCTCTGGTGATTCCTGCCTGCCTTCCAGTGGCCTCTGGGTGGGATGCGTCCTTGCGTTACTGTTGTTTTGGTTGATCACAAATAGTGATTTAATGTGCCTGTCTTGATATAGTGGTAATAAGACTAGTACTTAGTGTTTTACAGGCACGAGTTTCAGTGTGACCATCACCAAAAAGAAGCGTAGTTAAAAAGGCAGAATTGAATTCCAGGGCACCTCTGCAGCATCATTCAGGGTTTATTTACATAGTATGATATTTTTGGCATTCAGTCAGTTGCTTTGCTGTTACGTATCAGCAGGTCTGTGGTATAGAGGTGTGGAATTGTGATCTGAAAGGAGAATGTAGCAAACAGAGTACAAGCGAAGACCGTATGTGTTGCTACCTTTGAATTGATATATGGGAGTATGAAATTCATGTTTTATAGCACTGCTCACACTTTACATCTGTCTGTAAGGCACAGTATTTTTGCACAAACTGATCTGGTGCAGCCTTAATGAGCTGTGGAGGCTTGCTGGGGCAGCCACAGAGCATGAAGTTCAGCGAAGTTTGTACAAGTGACTGCTGGATTGCAGAGCAGCGTGAAAGCCAGAGTCCTTTCTGTCTCTTCTTCCACAGTGATATGCTTTATTTACAGGGAAGAGGAAAGAGTCAAGTTGATGGTTATGAGTTGGGTTGCTGTAGGATCAGGAAGAGCCCTTCTGTGATTAGGAAAATGCTGTATAGACAGTAAGTGCTAGGACAGCCAGTAGCAGTCACAGTGTTGGCTGGAGGGTCACCTTGTCATCAGGTAGAAAAGCCTCTCTGCTGATACTTAAATAATGCTTCCCCTTATCTAATTTCTTGATGTGTACAGAGCAAAAATGTTTGCTAACTGATGTCTTAAAATGCAGTTAAGTAAATAATGGATGTTTTTATTTTCCATTGGTTTATTTTTTTATTGTGGTCCTTCTAACATATAATGATAATTGGGGAACCCATGCTGTAAAATGCTAAAATTTACAATGTTGAAAAAATTTGAATGTATGATGGTTCCATAATTGACAACCAATAAATAAAATAGTGGGTGGAGAATATCGGAATTATATACTCCAACTATGACTGACATCTCTGCTGCAAGTCTTTCCAGTTTGCGTCACCTTACAAGATATGATTTTATTAAATTAACTGCTAAACTGGATGCTGAGAAGGGTTTTTTTTGTATGTATGGATGAATTCTGCTACTGCTCTCATTGGCAGTGTGGGCAATGTCTGAAACCAGACCTGTTTGCTAGATGCGCCTCGTGCTGGTTTCTGTGTCACAGGCACAGATGTCAGAGGAAGGGATCAGGTGTTGCTCCATGAAATTCTGTGCATTCATGATGTTGGGAGCTCGACCCTGCCCTTGCTGTGTGGGATAGGACTCTGCCTTAGCACTGCAGGGGATTTGTCTGTGTGGCACCCTGTGTGCACTGGGGGCCCTGCCTTTTGTGGACGTGGGCAGTTCTTTGCTGTACAGAGGAGGTGAATGGTGAGTAGTGAGCTGTATGTGATGGTGTCTCTTTCAGTCCCTTGATCTGAAATGGAGGTTGCACAAATGCTGTGCTGTAGCAGAGCTGAGTATTTCCTCCCTACGTGCATCCTCTTCTTCCTGCCTCTCCCAGCCACTTCCAGCAGCCAGGCTGTGTTACTGTAAGCCCCAGACAGCGGAAAGACGTGAGCCATTCATGTGAATTTTTTTTCTAAACAACCACCATTCTTCAGAGTGTGAGAAAAGCAAAAGAAGTCACTTGGTGCTGTGTGTTGATATTTATTGATTCTTCTGCAGAAAGCAACGAGTACCATTAGGTACTCCTTTACATCCAGGAATCCATTTTAAGCTGCTTTGTCAGGCAAGTACACAGGGAAAGTACTGATACTCTTTCAGCATGGTTCAAGTCAGTGCTGTCTGAAAAACCTTGACTGGTTCTGATGAGCTTATTCATCCACTCAGGATTCATGTTGAGCTAGGTACTTAGTATTTCTGATTGCTCAGGCTCCCAGGGTATCCACAGTGTGATGCAAGCAAAGGGTGGAGGGAAGCCAGGATGGCACCATCTCTCCAATGAGTTGTGTTTGTATTTGCCAACACAAAACAAGTTTGTTGTGCTGGTGATGCAATTTTTATACTCCAAAGGAAGACTTAAGTTATGTTTTCTTGCTAACACTTCCTGTAGAATAGGTGGACTAGACTGGATACCTGCCTATCTCATCCTTGCAGAGGAGGTAGATGTTGAGATACATCTCTTAAGGCTTTGGGAGTCAGAATAATAATTTGACTAAAGCATCCAAGAGTAGTTCTTGCTCACTTGGCATGGTATAATGACTGAAATGTGCTCATGTTTTCTTGCAGTGGAGATGGTGGATTTTAGTTTGAATGTGTTCCTTTAAAGATTGAGAACCATTGTAGGTGGAGGAGTTTTATACATGGAATGTATAAAACTGGAATGTATAAAAATGGAATAGAGCAGTGGTGTCAGACTGACATGTCTCTTGTTTCAGACAGCCATGAAGTGATGCCCACTTCAGAAGAGCAGCAGTAATCGTGAGGTCTGGGATAGATACTGATGTTCATCCTCTATTCTGTCAGTTAACACTTGTGAAAGGCCTTAAACTACTCCTTGTGGAACTAATGTTACTGTTTCTTAACTTCTCTTGTAACCCTGTTTTCTTCTGTACCAACAGGGCTGTGCTTCCTGCGCTGGTGCACTTAAGCTCAGGATGCTGTTGCTGGAAACTGCAGAGCTTTGTCTGTTGAAGTGAGATGTCTTGGAGTCAGCTGGAGGATCCTCCTTCCTCCACAGAAAATAAGAGACCCCTCTGTCTGAATCTTGGTGCTGAATAGGCTGGCTGGATTAGTGTTCTCCTGGATATCTTTTTCTTACAGTATGAAAGGTTTGGATGTTTTTTGGCTGAATCTTTGTGACCAGTGATTTTGTAAAGGATTTTGCTTTGTTTTAGAATGGCAGGAATGTGTGGATTTGTGAATATACTTGAATTGATGGGCACCCAAGATGAGAATTAACAAATTTGGGGTTTAAAAGGACTATATGCATGGATAGTAATCTTTGGCTTCAATTGAAGCCATGCATTTAATTTCTGCATTTGTCTGCAGGGAACTTCTCAAATCCTATCTGACTCATACAATGCTGTATATATACATTAACATGCAATGAGGTGCACAACTGTGTTGTTCTTGGAAACTGTTCAGCTGTAAAAACAAGGCCACATCTGAGATGAGACAGCCTTCTCTTAAGAAGGGCTGTCTTTTTTTGTAGCCCATTTCAGCCAGTTGAAGAAGACTTGTGCATAGTTGTTGAGCCCACCTTGCTGCTTGTAAAGGTGTTGCTCCTGGTATGCTTTTCCCATTTGAAAGGAATACTATTTTTAGGCTATGAATTTTGAGGGTGTAGTGAATCTCAAATATAATTATGGGAATCAGAGTTGCTGTGATGAGTGTCGTTGTATTAGATCTGGTGATGTCTTGTCTCAGTAATTTGCTGTTTGCTGTTTATGGCAGTTAAAGCAACCTGTCTTGAGGATGATTTCTATAAAGTTGCTGAAAAAAATCAACACCAGACACTTGGGATATTGGTGGGGAGTAAAAGTTGCCACAATGCAGTTTAATTTTTTGCTTCTAGAGATAAATGCTGAAATTCCCACTACTTAACTGGGGGCAGCTAGCAGTGTCTCAGTGGCTGGGCTCAGCCCGACCTGTTTTGTTCACTGTTTCTTTTACCTGAAATATCAGCTAATACCAGCCACCTCTCCTCCAGCCTTACAGAGGCATTATTTCACCAGTGTTTTCTCAGTCTGGGGGGATTTGGGCCAATTGATAAACTGAATATCCTTTCCCCCATCTTCCCCCTGCCCCAGTTCTGGAAGATGTTGACCTAATTTGCAGACATGAATTGCACATTTTATCAAGGCCTCATCATGGGTGTGTAATAATTTCACTGGTTTATTCTGTTTGTAGATGCTGTGACAATGAATTTAAGCTGCTCTGAAGTACCTCTTCATGTAAGTCCTTAAACACTAGGCTTCTGCCTAGAGAGTTGCTTTCTTTTGGATAATAGCTCATTCAAAATCAGGGTGAATGAAATTAAAATCCATTCTCTGATTTTCTGAGACTGGAGGTTGTTGAACATTGCTGTCAGATGAGGCATGTGTAAAAGTGATAGTTTCCAGTAGTGCAGCTCAGCTCTAGGAAGGAAATTTTAAATTATTTGCCCTTTGTGATAATTAACTTGTTCTCCTTCAGTATTCTCAATTGAAGTTTTCAAAGGCAGTTTTACTGCCTGAGAAGAGACACCTCTCATTCACTTTCCCACAATTTTTGGTTGTTTTTTTCCTTACAGAATTCCAAACTACCATTCTCTCCATTTCTATAAAGCAGGAAATTCTGTGTTATGTAAAAAAAAAAAAAGTTGAAATTTATAACCAAATGAATTTTTTTTTTCTGCAAAACCTGAAATAATTGCTTAAAATAGATTTAACTCCAAGTTAAAAAACAAGTAGTAACATGAGTGAGGACATACATTAAGTAATTTAAATTTATTTTGTACCTTCAAGGGGATGTGGTTGTGAGTATTAAAACTTGGGAACTCTAACAGTTATTATTAAAAAAAGTAATTGTGTTTTTTATACCTGTTCTCCTTTGCAATGAGGGTAGCAGGGGTACATGGATGACGCCTAGCAGGAAAATGGGAGAACAGTGAATGGTTTTCAAAAGGGTGGGAAAAGATGAAACAGAGAAAGAAACGAAACAATTATCTGCTTATTGTAGTGCCATGGGGATGGAAAAGGAGGAATACAAATAATTGTGCCCTGGAGGATTGAAGGGATGTATGATTGGTAATGCACCAGCATGATTTTTCATTCTATTTGTCAGCTTCAGACTTGAAACCTCAGGCTTGCAAAGATTTGGTGCAGTATCTTTAAAGGCATCAGGAGAAAAGTATTTTTGAGGCCTGCTCATGTGATGTTTATTGCATGGTGCAAGGCTTTAAAAACAAATTTTTACAGGAAAATTAATAAGGGACATGGCGATACCTGATCTGACTGATCTGTATCTTCCCATAATAAGATAATGGACCACTTTGCACAGGGCAGTGCAGTGGCTTTAATCCAGGTTGTTGAAAATGAAACATTTGATATGGTGTCTCACAGGAAATTCTTATGGACAATAAAGAAGGGGAAGATTAACATAGAGAGATAAAGATATACGGGCACTGCAAGAGCTCCTAGGGTAGAGAGAAAGATATTACAAGTGATAGTCCTTAAGTGTCATACTTAAGGATACTTTAGTACTTTGATTATAAACCTATGAGTCAGATGTAGGCTTACAGAATATATGTAAATTCATTGACATAATTGGATTTGGGAGATGCTGGTTAGTGCCAAGAAGAGTTCAGTAATTATGTAGGAAGATTGAATTTTCCTGCCTGTTATTTATGCCAGTAAGAAGTGGAAAGTGCATTTGAAGACTAATAATGGTACATCTCTTATGAACAAGGGACTCACCAGGGGGAGGCTTGGAATGTTTTAGTCACTTGTAGTGTGTCAGATGAGAGAATGTGATTTTAGTTGAGAACATTCACCCCAAGCTTTGCACAAGTGAGAGTCTGTACCAGATCTAAGCTTTGCTGGTTGTTGTCTGTGCTTTGGTAACTTTCCAGTTGTGGTCTTCAGCCTCTCACCAGTGCAGGTGGATAAATCCCAGAGGGGGCTCATAATTTGCTAGAAATCCAGTGAGAGCAGTTTGACTTGCCACCAACTCATTTTCTTGTGGGGGCAGCAGATGGAGATGGTGTCTTTCATGTGGGTCCCCAGTGTCCTAACATGACTGAGGTTAGTGGAGAAAAATGGACAACCAGGGATTTGCAGTGGGAGCACCTGGGGTGAATTTCCCAGAATCTGGGGTTGTAGTAATTTTTTTAACAGTCTCCTATATTTATTTCTGTGCGTATGTGTGGGAAAGATGGAAAGTTTTCTTTCAACCTACATCTGAAACTTGGAGAAATCTTAGCAGATCTTATAGTGACCATATGAGGATGATGTAGTTAATCTAATGAGTTGGTGCCTGAAAGTGTTGCAGCTTCACAGTCTTGCACATCACAGTATTGTTCATAATTGGAGTGTCTTTGCAGTGTGTTTGGGAAGATCAAAGAGTTCTGAGTGTCCTGAAAAAGTCCTTGAGTGAGGGCAGTTAGATTTATCTTCTTTAGTTAGATCCAATTATTTCATAAGTTCTGGAAACTCCTTCCAACTGCTTCTGTTTTATTTGAGTGATTTTGTTGGAAAACATAATCAAATGAGCATTTAAATTAAACATGAAAGTCCTTTCTGATTATTCAGTTCCTTTGTCAGTTTACATTAAGCAGTTGTCTGACAAGCTGAGCTTGTCTAAATGCTCTTCTATCTCCATCACCTGAATGCTGCTTTCATGTTCCATAATCAAGGATAGAGCAAACACGTCTGGAAAACTGAGGAAACATGACGAATACTTGCACTGCTGTGAATTTAGGTATCTCTCTGGAACTCCAGAATACCATGTCATGGCAATTGCACATTGTTCACATGTAACTTTGAAGTTGTCAGCATATAGTTCTAAAACATTGTTTTCCACAAGAAAAGTGGAAGAGATCAAAAGATAGGAAGCGATCTCTTCAGCTTCTGTGAAAGCATAGGTTTTGTTCATTGAGAGAAGGAGAAATCTGCTCTATGCTGGGTCTGAAATGAGGATGCTTTTCACACTGTATGTAAACATGCTCAGCATCTACATCCACTGGGTTTTTAGCCTCTTCTTTGTGGTAAGAATGCCTGTTTTGCGAGGTTTGTATTTCCTGTCACATTATCTGAGAATAACTGCAGTTTTGTGTTTATAATACACATTTTAAAGATTATATGTAGGATATTTATTGATTCACTGTATGTGAGCAGCTGTTAACACAGCTGGAGCATGTGTCCATACAGTGTGGCTACTTCAAACTGTCACACTTCAGCATGAAGCGTGACACTGAATTACTGAATTTCTTGACAAATCTAAAATAGTATGTGTAATCTCATTGGCTAGTGATGGCTGTTCTGTTTTGTTACCTAAGAGGGAATGTGTTCCGAAAGTTCAAGGACCTTGCTGATTTGATATAATTTTTGTGAAATATCATTTGAGAATACTCTATGCAATTACTACATTTTGAAAATGCATTATTTAATACACTTCTTCTGTATTTAATTTTGGTGGTAGCAGTGCATTAACATCTAGTTACAGCACACATCAGTGCCATGATTTAAAAAATAACTGGTAATGAAACAGAAAATCAAGTATTTGAAGCACATTTCCTCAGTTAATTTGAGTGGCCTGTTTCTGCCTTCTAGGCAGCAAATTACTGTTAACCACTCAATAAAGTTACTCTTTATAAGCCAATCTAGTTTTCAAGATTGAGTAGCCAAGAATACACTGACAGTTCATATACATCTATTTTTTTAATGCTAATACATCATTTAAGTATATAGAACTTGAATGTAAGTAGCTTTTGCCCTCCTAAATTATGCTTTTTTAAAACTGATAGAAATAAAATTATATTTAGCCAATTCTATCTGTAAGAGGAGCAGCAAGTTGAGTTTTTAATTTCCTTGTGTACTTAAGACAGCATGTGGAATAAAACCTCACTATCTTCAGGAAAAAAAGGCTATTCATGAAAGATGAAAGATAAAACCAAAATATGAGGCACTCTTCAGATATTAAAGAATTTATGTATGTTGTTCCTCCTATTGTAAGCAGTTTTTAGTGAGGAGAAACAAATATCCCTCATGGAAAAACATTCTTTCTTATTTAATGGTAGGTAACTGGTTTTTGTTAATTTTAAAGAAATGTTATTGATTACTAGCTTTGATCTTTGATATTGGCAAAGAAATACCTTACTGCCATGGAACAAGCATACTGTGGAGGTAGTGAGCTCCCAAGAGCAGTAAATAAGTGTTCTCAGAAGTTTGTAAATTATTCTCTGCTAGGAGCCTTATGGATATTTCCCATTGGAGCAGGAGAGATAAATAAATGCTGAGCTGCAGGGTATATTCTCGGAGTCCCACCAAAGGGACCTCATCTCCCCAGGAGATGGTGCTGAAGGTTATGTATTGTCTTTCCAGAGGAACTTCTGGGTGTTAATTCTCTGTGAAGAGGCAGAAGCACAGGCTTCTGCCTTCAGGACTCAAGATCTCCTGGAAATTAGAACTTCCATTTGCTCTTGTGCTGCAAGGTGCTTACTGTTCTCAAAATGTACATTCCTAAGGTATCACATGCTCCTATGTACAACCACTGGAGCTGGCTTAAAGTCCTCAAGGTCTAAGCTTAATTAACTTCTCCTCTGTTCTGTTATACACAGTCTCCCTCTTAAGGTGTCCCTGCTCCAGTGTTTTCACTTGGGGACAATTTTGTTTCTGACAGTGTTACAGCTTCCTAGGTGAAGTGTAGGTGCCAAGGAGAGGGAGGTGCTTAATACTGATGTATAGAAGTATTCCTGCAGGGAGGTTTTGGAGGGATTCTCTGGCTGGGTTGGGAAGGGAAGAGAGTAGGATGTGGCACCAGGCTGCTTGCAGCAACAGTGTCTGAGGGCCTGGAGACTCTCAGACTTTGGGTAAGCTCAGTGATGGTCTTTGCCTGGGCTGGGTCTGCAAAGTGCCAAACACTATTCCAGCATGCTTTGGCGTGATTTGAGTGGGAAGTGGCAGTAGGACTAGGTATTGATTGTGGGTAGTTGATTGTCTCCCTTGCCAAGCTGTCTGCCTTCCCAGTTCCTCCATGCTGTAGCTGATGTTTGAAGAAGGGTGGAAAGGGATAATTTTCCATGGCTGTATACAGCTTTTGTATTCCTTGCTCTTGCTAGGTATTCAGTATGATTTTTATCCTGTCTTGTCCATTCTGTGCTTTCATGTTTGCTCTTGCAGTGGATCTGGCCATAATTCTGGGCCTATCTGTGTATTCAGTGAGGCTGAAACGACTGCCATACATAGACTTCAAAACACAAAAAGAAGTGTGTTTAAAATGTAAATTTGTATTGGCCTTTCAGCATGCCTTTGCTAGTGCACAGAGCTGTGTTCCACAGAGCTGATCCAGCTCTGCCTGGAGTCAGGAGTAATTTGTTGTTGTCTGCTCTGGGAGCCTGGTCAGGTCCATCATGGGAAGCATGGGGATGCACAAAAGAGTATGCACAGGCTGGCCTCTGGATGCAAGCTTGCTGCCAGAATGAAACTGAGAAAATATATCTGAAAGAATGGGACCTATTTTTGGGATATATATATAAGATATAAAAGAAAAGAATGGGTGCTTCAAAGGATGTCCATCAGCAGGCAGATAATTTTTGTTCCACTGGTATATTAATTTTTTCCCCTTCAGTCCTTAAATTGAGATTTTTCTGGGCAGGGACTTTGTGCTTACATGTTTTTGTGTAGTGTCTGCAACAACAGAGCCCTGATATTACATAGGAAATGAGAATAATAACCAGTCTGATTTGTATATTTTAAATCAAGTCAACTGAGATTACTCCTTTTCTTTTAATCAGCAGCTGCATGTCAGAAGGGAAGTTAATTTTCTTATTGCAGAAATTTTCTGACCTATGTTAACAGCTCTTTCTTAAGCTTCCTTATTCCACTGTATTTATGCATGAACATAAGTTGTTGTGTCCCTCACAGCAAAACACTGAATGATATTTTCAGTGCTGGATGACCAAGAACATTATTGTATGTTTTGGCAATGTGTTTAAATTTTTTTCTATTTCTTTTGCTTTCTCCCCTCTCCTTTCTGATAAAAGCATTCCAGATATTTTTATTTTTATCCAGTGGTTCCAGAATTAAAATATATCCCATTTATTTATTTATTTATTTATTACTTGTTTATGTTATGTTGCTACCATATCAGACTCTGAAAATTTTTGTCCAACTTAGCTGTTGTCACAGTTTGATAATAAGCTAAACACAGCTTTAAGACTGGTGGTGGCAAGGTAAGGAAAATAAAATCAGTTTGATGTAAAGTGCTAATTTGCTATAGGCTTGTGCTGTGGTTCAGATTGTTTAAAAACACTGGTAGATTAATTCTGCATGAACAGTCAGTTCCATGACTGTCTCTTATACTGCTGCTGACATAGAGCAGGCATAAAAACACAAAGCCAGCATAAGCTCTGTATCATATGCTCTCACGGATGCCGTAGGATTTTAGCTTTTATATTTTCCAAATATCTGTAATCCTGCAATTCTTTAGTGTATAGCTCTAAACTCCATATAGAGTGTTAGCTGCTGCTTTCCCATTTTGGCCAGACAAAACATTTCCTCTCCAGGCCTGGGAATCAGGACTCATCACTATCTCAGGCCCTGAGAAATGTAAACAAAAGCGAGTTGGGGGTGGAAGCAAATTTGGGGTAAATGACTTCATTACCTGAAACTGTAGTTGGAAGATTAACCCCCAAAATGCAAATGGACCAAATTTATATAAGTATAAGAACCCATGACCTGTCGTCCATTCTGGGTGTAGTCTTTGGGGGGCTTTGTCTGCCCTAAACGTACCTGAAAGCCTTTCAATAAATGTAACTGCATCTTATTCCCTTAATTTTTCTGGTCTCTGTTTTTAGGTAGCCCCACAAGGCATCATCACTAATTCAGCAAAAATGAGGTTGTTTTTCCAGGGTCAGGTTAGTGAGGCTGGATGTTGCTTGTGGTGACGTGAAAGTGGTGTTGCTGCCAGCTGTATCTTAAATTGACTGTATCTTAAAGGACTGGTTGAGAGGAACAGGGGCTAAACAGAAGAAACTCCTCAGGACTGAAGAGGTAAATTTTTTTTTGGTAAGATAATGCAATAGAAAATAAAGACCTGGAAAGCACCTGGACATATTGCATGTGCACTGAATGAAAAGCATATGTCTAATACATGATTTTTAAAGTGGGTAATGTTAGAGGCAGCTTAACAGTGTGCAGTCATATGTCAACAGATTTGCAGACATGTATGTCATGACCTGTTACTTTGTTTCTTCTTTTTAGAGGAATTTTTTTTCTTTGTTATGTTTTTTAAAATTCAGTTGGATTCTAGTTCCTTTGGTGGAGGCAAATCTTGCAGTTCTCAACAAAACCCCTTGTTTTTCTGTCTGTGTCTCTGAAGAGAGTGAACCTTTGTTGAGGCTAGTGAGGAGGTAGAAGATGTAACTCATTTTGAGACATCAGCTTTGGGTAAAAGCCAGTGTGTACAATTTCAGAAACTCCCAAGACAGTGGATGCATTTCAGATTGTCACTGAAAGGGGAGTATTGCAATAAGCTTGATTGAAAACTCAGAAGGTTTAAGAATGATCTCCTATTAAACCCCAACAACATAAACCAATCCTTTTTCTCTTCCCCTGATCAAGGCCAAAGACTTGTTAAGCCATTAAAGAAGCACAAAATATGTACCAGGCACAGAAGGTGGGAGCAGCCAGACAGGGCTTGTTTGGGTGGGAGGAAGTTCACTGTGCTGTGTGTTGTGTGACTGTGTGAGTGGTGTTTTCAAGCAGGGTGGGAAAAATCCAACTCTGAGGAGTAAACTTGGGCAGCTTTTTATCCTGTTGTGAGGCAGGAGAATCAGCTAGTTAATTTGTCAGTATCTCTTCCATCCTTCTTTGCTTGGAGTGTACGTTTGTGGTCAGTTTGGATGTAACAGAGTACTTAAATTTTAAGGACTGTGGGCTACTTACTGAAAAAGGTGGCTGTAACTTCTACCAGTACTTTCTTTTTCTTTTAAAAAGGCCCTGCATCTGAAACAAAATGAGGAGCTTCCTGCTTTTTCATATCAAAAGAGGGAAGCTTATCTGTCATCATTACGAAATTTCTCTTTTAGTGCTTTTCTATTAAAGATAGTGATGGGACCTTGCTAGAGGCATCCTTCAGATTTTGTTTTGGTGGTCACTGAACACTTCCTTTTCTCACTTTTTTGACAAGAACAGAGGGCTGCCTCAGCTGCTAGTCCATGGACTTCCTGTGTGCTGTGTTGCCTTAAGCATCTCTGGGGGTGATGCTTCTTACTTGTGCCTGGAGGTATCTGTGCAAATGCATCCTCTGCATCTCTCAGAAACCTTCCACATACTGAAGAAATACCTGCAGCTAGTCAGTGCATGAAGTTGATGTGGTTTGGAGCACCTTGGTGGGTGCACTTCCCGCATGTTGGCAGTGTCTTTTCCACAGGTTCAGGGGCTGCAGACTGGCCTTGTGCAAATGACTGAGGTTCTCTGGGTGCTGGTGGAGTTTTGCAGTATGAATTAATAGAGGACTGGCTTTTCTAGAAGCAACTCTACATGTGTATTTAATTTTTATAAAAGTGTAAGTGTGGGCTTTTGGACAATATGTAATATTAAATGTAACTCTATCAACACATGCTTGTCTTGAAGTATGTATGTGGAATTATGCTTATTGCATTCCTCTGGATAGAAAGTTGCTTCTTCTTTTAAGTTATTAAATGGGGGAAGAATCCACCCTGTTTTTGTTTTGGATATTTTTAGCTATACAGTTAGAATGCTAATGCTTCTAGAGAAATGTTCAGCTTTTATCGCTCTTTTTTTTTTTTTTCAGTTTGTAACTTCCCTTCCCTGCATGCAGTGTTGCTGTTTCATTGTGTGCTGAATCCCATTGCATTCAATTCAGTTGGAGTGCTTGCTTTTTTAGCAAGTCCATAACTGCATTTACTGCAATCTGTAGACAAGATCTGTCTGGTGGATGCTACGAAAGCATCACAGAACATTGGAAAGGCACATTTATAACTTTTTTTCTTGCTATTAGTGTTTTGAATATGATTGATTTGGGTTCATTTAGAATTTTCATACTGCTAAAATTTCCCTATTTTAACATCTTTTGTGTAGAAGTGTTCACAGTTGCAGGTGAGTTGCAGAAGGGTCATTAAAACTGTATGGCTGCTACTGTTCTTGTCCAGGCACAAGCAAAATACAAACATTTTCTGAAGTGAGTCTTCTCAACAATGAAAAAGTATTTATGTGAAATTGCAGTGGCCAGTAGCAGCTGACATAGAGGAAAATATTCCTGTTATTGCTGGCAATACTTGGAGATGTGCATTTACTTCAGTGTGTTGGGTCTTGTGTTTTGGGAACAACTAAGCCATTATTTTACCCCAGAACATAAATATTTTTTCTTACAGCATGTAATCACAAAGCTGGTTTTTTTTTTTTTTTTTTTTTTTTCTGTTACATTTAGAAATTATATCTTTGAAAGTCCTGGATAAAATAATACTTTTCAAGCTATTATGCTACATGCTTAGTTTGGTAAGGAAATTTTTAGGGTATTTTAGAATGTGTTTTTCTTATGGTAAAAAGCTGCTGGGAAAGTAAATTTATTTAGGCTATGTATACATGGATAGAGAACAATTGTTGAAATTAAGCATGGTGGCCTGGATCTTGAAGTCCTCCAAAGGTCTTTTTGTGTTGCACCTGTTTTGCTGGGGCAGGTTCCTGGTGAGGAAGATGGTGGTTTTCAAAGTGGAAGAAGCTCAGTTCACGTTAATGGCCAGTTACTTATTGAGGCATGAAGTGTCTTGCAGCAAGCTAGGGATGATCCATAGTGGAAGTGCCATGGTCAAAGCTTCAGCCCCTCCTGCCTGCCTGGATGCTGCTGTGTTTCAGCTGTGAGGGATTCCTACCCACATATCCTTCTCCTCACAAAGCCTGCCTCAGTCCTTTGCTGGGATGCTGAACAGGGTCAGATGAGTGTCAGGAGGTGGAAGCTCTCCCAAGTCTGGCCTTAGCTGCCTCCTACCCAGGACATGGGATTCAGTGGACCCTGCTGCTGCAAGCCTGACATGGTCAGTTCTCAAGTACCATAGACAAACCAAGGGAAAATGTATTTCTGAAAAAACTGATTGGTGACACTGAAAGAGTGCATAGACCTGTGAATCTTATTAAAACCACAAACCTTGCTAGTCTCCTCCCTGTTGCCGGTGCCAGATCAGTGTCTTCCCTGGTAATAAAAGGTAGGCTTTACATTATGGATCCCAGAGAGGTGAAAGCTAATGCTTTCTCAGCCACAGGAATGTGCTCAGAGTTGAATCTATGGCTTGCTTGAGGTCCCTTTAACTGCAATGCCTTCTCCCCAATTCCCGTGTATGCTTTTCTGGTTTTTATTTGAAGGATTACAGTGACAATCTTGGCTTTCATTAAATTGATGCCAAAACTCCTCTTGGCTGGAATAGGCTGAGGGCTTCTCCTGTGTTATTTTTCTTCTGTTTTCTGGTATCTTTTTGCAGTCAAAAGTATTGATGCAGCTGCCTGAAGTTCTCTGCTGTTACAGGTCTGAATGATGTTTGAGAGATCTCCAGTTTCCATGCACTCCTGTGGTGGTTCTGTAGAGATGAATACCTTTTTTTAGCCATGCATGTGTAAATCTAAGTAAGATAATTGTCTCAGTAAGTGCTCTTTGACTTAAAAATTGTTTTCTCTACAAATCTATCAGAATCAGCACAGTGTGAGCTTGATGCAAGGAGCTTCCCCTGTACCTATCTGTGAAACGAGCTGTGGCCAGGGGCTGTGTTTATTGTTGAGATGGTGAAGTGGCACATCCTTCCCCCTGCTTTGATAAGTGGGGGCTGAAATATCTGAGGTTCACATGGACCCTGAAAGCATGCTTAACCATACCTGCACGTAGAAATCAAGCTCTTTCTGTTACATTTTCCCAAGTCTGTGAGGATATAGATAACCTTATTAAGGCAAGGAAAGAGTTGGGAGAGAGGTTAGGCTGTTGTTAAAAGAATGAACCTGTGAAAATGGTGTCAAAGACATATAGCAACTGGATTGTCAAGAATCTGGCTCTTCTGGATCCATGCTCTCACAGCTGCCTTGTATTCAGTGCACTTGGCCACTTTTCCATAGGTGAGGTGCCAGGTTTACATCATTTGGGTTTTGGTGTCTGGAGAATAAGTTTAAAGTTTGTATTTAGAAATGTAGAAGAAACAGTTGGGATGTGTTTCCAGTTTCAGTGTCTGGAACAAATTCAGACCAAACATAATTCTGTAGAAGGTCAGAGTTCTCATTTCATGTGGTGCATATACTATAATCTATTTCTATTGATTTTGCTCTTTTGTACTGATATGTCAGTTAGGGCTTAATTACTTTTAAATGCCAATAACTGCAGTTTTAGTTTCTGTGTGCTTTAGTAGTAAGTCAGTGCCAGGGTTTTTTTTTCAGACTTGAGATGGTGCTTTGGTTATGCCTTGCAGAATGGGTTGTAAGCAGTGGAGAAGACTTTCTCTCACATGTGGTGACAGTGATGCTGGGCAAATGAGTTTTGTGCTTTGATAGAAAACCTGGATTGAGCACTCTGGCTCTGCCAGGAAGCAGTGCTTTTACAAAAGAGGTGTCATCTCCCAAAAAACTCTGGGAAAGCCTTGTGAAGCAGACAGACATTTCTTTGGTGGAGGAATAAATTGCTGCATCTCATTGCAAGATCTAGCCTGCTCCCCTCTTGATTGAGTGCCTTGTTAGGAAAGGAGGAGGAAGATTGGAGCTAGAATTGCTCCCATTCCTGTGACTCCAAGTTAATTTTTCTGTGGTGGAAAGATCTGTTCAGGTAGTTCCTGGTGCAGCCTGCTTCTGGGGCTGGACTGACCTTGCCTGAGGGGCTCAAGATATAAATACTTCTGCAGGGATTGAGTATAAAACTTGAATTATTTTCCCAAAGTATTTTTCTATGTAGGAGTTTTCTAGAATGGACTCCAAGTGATCTTTTTAGGAAAAAAAAAAGTGATTAAATAGGTCCTGTAATATATTTGGCTTCACACAGAGACAATTTGAAAGTAAAGTGGTACATGTTTTAGTAGCAGCAACAGCAGCAACAAGTAATATGTTTGAATGGAGCAACATGAAACAGGAATATATGAAGGTAGGATAGAAAATGCTGGAGATGATGACAGGAGCTTGCATGAAATAACTGTTTCTGATGCCAGGTGTGATAACCATACAGAATCAAAAATAATATTCTACTATTACTTTCTGTGTTATCTTTGAATCATATACTGTAATATAGGGTTTAACCTCTTTTTGGATAATTTGTGACTTTCCAATTGAATCACTTAATTGTTTGGCCAGATACAAGGTAGCTGCCGATTTGCCTTCTTTTTGGAAAGTCTTTGCTTAAATGACAATTACTTTTATTTTCTTTAGTGTTGTAAAGGAGTGAGCTCTATAAAACTTGTTTTTTATTAAGTACACATGAGGTTTTCACTGTCTTTTTTCCTCTACACAAGGATTTGTAAATTCTCCCTCATGCTTATACATTATGTAATGTAATTAGTTTAAGATGTTTCTCTGTCCTTCGTGAGCCAACATTAACAATTTTTAAAAAGGAGCTGTATGGCTAAAATTTGGCTTGAATTTTTTTCTTGCCAATAGTGGCTAATTAAGTGAGAAATGTTTCCACAGAATATGTCCCTTGTTTTGCATGGTTAAGGCAAAGAAAACACGAAAACTGTGTGGCTGTATGCTTTCTCTGACTCAGGGGTCCAGAGGGCATAGAGATGGTTTGAGAATTGTGGCCTCAAGCGCCCACGTGGAAGAAATTCTGCTGTGCTTCTGTTTACCAGGCAGCTGCCAGCTGAGCCCACTGGAGAAGACTGTGGAGGATCTTCAGAGCCCTACCCTATGCCTATCTCTCTAGAAAAGCCATCCACATTATTACTCAACAGACCAAAATGGTTATTTACAGCTACAGTAAATTCTTTTAAAAAAAGATTATTTTAATAACAACAGTAAAAGCAGCAACTGCAATAATAAGAACACATTCTGGTTATAGTAGTGCAAAACCCAAAGAGAAATAGGAGAAAACACTTTGCAGCTATAATAACACTTCAGGCCACTAGAAGGAGGGGTGTTATCACTGTTTGGAGATGACAGGCATGTTTGCTCTTGATACTGAACTCATAATATTGTCTACATCTGTCCTTACGGGAAGAGTCCTATCTGAGGAAGATTCTGTGCTTGAAACCAGCCTTTGCCTGTTCACCCCCTTTCATTAGATTTTTCTGCATTGAAGTGGAAAACACATGCAGAATTTGCATTGTTGTGATTGATGAGAGAGATGTCTTTGGGGAAGGCAGGCCAAGATGTGAAGTTGTTGAGGGTGGCAAGAGTCACACCACAGTGAAGTGTTTGGTTTATAAGGAGCAGGGAAAGGACAGTCAGAGGCATAAGTGTGGTTTTCAGCCGCAGAATTTTCTGTGCTACTGTGTTGTGATTTATTTTTTACAAGACTTGTTTATGGAGCCGGTGGAGTCAGTGCTGTGGTAACTGAATAGAGCAGGGCAGGCATCTTTGGAAATATGGCTCAGATATTCCTCTGTAGCATGCTTTCTGCCAGATGTTGGGGCAATTCTGCCTTATTTGGAACAACTGTGGCAGTCAGGAACTGTGCTGTAGCACACTGTCCTCCTCAAGGAAATGCAGCTTGATCTAAATTTCCTCCCTCAGACTTGTCAGGCATTTGTTATTGTTTGCCACTTCTTAGATCCTTTTCCTGTTCTTTTTTGAAGCTATTGTATGACAGATTTTTCTTGGCTGGTTGCTTTCTATTTACTATAAAGAAACTCAGATATCCCAGATATCTGGGAACTAGTGTTCTTTGAAACCATTTTTAGAATTGCATTGGTGCTTTTTTTTGAAAACTAAGTCTAAGGTAATTTAAATCACTTGTGAATTTATTTTATTTATTTTTTTAAAAAAACCTTGCTTTTGTAAATTACAAAATATTTGGGTTCAGGTTATTCTGATGCATTTTAAATAAAAAGCCAATTATATTTGTGTGGGGTAAGATGAAAGGAATTGCTTGAAAGACATTATTTAAAAGGCATTTTTAAAAATCAGCTTTGCTATCGCAGGCATAAAAACTGTTGTTTTCTAAGTGGCAGTAGGAAACTGAAGATTTGTCATTGTATCAGAGCCTCTATATAGTAGGGTTATGAAGATTACAGAAACTTAGACCTGAGTTATACATCAGTGGGTCTGTTGAAGATGGGAAATTTACTGCATGTTTCAATGCACTTTTAGTTTCAGGGACAAGTGACTATACATGCAAAATTTGACAAAGACATTTACCTCCCAGTGGACGCTGAGTTTTACTTTGTTTAAGATGGATCCCTGAAGAGACGCACAATGTTTGCTGAGCGAGTTAGTGGCAGCACTCTTCAGTCCATAGCTCCAGGTGAGCCTTAGTTCATGTTTATATTTTTCCACTCTTTGCTCTACCCCAACCCCATTTCAAAGCTCAGCATGACTGGACAGTTTGATATAACTGTCTCTGTAATGGAGAAAATGCAGGGATTTGAATGATGGCCTTTAGGACCCAGGCTGAGTTTGACTCTCCGTAGGTGATCCTGCCTTTTGTAGCAATCCATGCCAACACAGTATCGGATTAAGCTTTACTGGACTTGCACCATGGGGCTTGCATTAAAGTGCATTCTTCAGAGATGGCATAATTTTTAATGTGACTTGATTCTGTGCCACAACTGTTTGCCTCTGGTAATCCTAACACCTGAAAAAGTCCTGCTATTTCCGAGCCTTCTGCTGGTGCAGCTGTCAGCCTGGCTTGCAAGACCCTTCTGCTTGTGATGCTTGGAGCTCTGCTGGAGATGCACTTGGTACAGAAGTGTCTGGGAAACTGTTCCAGGGTGCCTCGCTGCAAACAAGGGACATCTGTGTTGCCTCCCAGCTGGCTCTCTGCCTTGGGCTTGTCTCCCTCATGGATGTAACATACACCCTGCTTTATTGTGTGCTTTGTGACCTTTTCATTTGTGTGAGTAGGAGGCTATAAGATGTGCTGTACCTGTGCAATAGGATCCCCTTGTTTTCTCTTGTGTTCTAAAGAGGATTTAGAGTCTGAAAATAAGTGCAGAGTATAAAAAAGGGAAGTCCATTGCTGTTACAAACTGGCTCCTCTGAACCTTTAAACGCTAAATAATTGTCATGGATTACAGCTGGGGAAAATGCAATGCTAGGCTTGTTCCAGCTGGGTTTTAATTTTGTTTTTAAGATCTCAGTGTATTCTGTGACACTGTTACATGGTTGCTTCTGGGGTAGGAACAAAATCAGATGGCTAAGTCAACACTTAATCATGACAAAAGCCATGAACAGATAACAATAAAATGTGAGGTTAAACTATATCCCTGCTGATATTAGTGTTATTTTATGGTAGCCAAATTGCACATAAGGGAACACAGAGTGCTTTAAAAACAAGTTGTGGTGAGTACATGCATCCTTCTGCAGTTTCTAGATTGCACGTGTACCTGTAGCTTTTCAGAGTATATTGGAAAATTTAAACTTGTGTCCTTAGTACATCACGGTTTACTCTCCAGTGAAAGGTACAGCTTGCACTCTTTTAGATATCCTCTTTTAGGCATCCATCCTGCCTTAGATGTCAGGAGTAGGAGGGAAAGACAAAATGCTGAAGAGGTTAAAGGGAAAAACTCCATTGGACTTTGAGGGTCCCAGCTGTAAGTAACAGAATTGATACAGCATTTAATCAAGTTTGCCAAGACCCTGAAGAGTGCATTAGTTAAAATCTTTCAGGTTTTGGCCTGGATAAATGCAAAATCAGTTTTAATAAATAGATGTATTACTCAGAATTCATTTTGCAGGCCATAACACCACTCTTTTCAAGAGCATCTAATTTTTCTTAATGCTTATCCAAGAATTTTCAATTCTTTCTACTGTGGTTAAAGAACTCTCACCTAAAAAGACTGGTTCTAGAATTAATCATGTTGGTATAATTGGGAGGACTATCAGTTCAAGTCTAGTTGAATCCAAGTTCATCAGTATAAATGCTTGGTAGGGGTCCTAAGACAAATCAATGCAATGAAAAGAAAGAGTAAAATAATTCTGAATGAGCAGCCACAGCTCTTAGGGACAGATGAGAATGAAAAATGACTGGTGTATTTTCTGAATACAGATGATGTTAGTGATTAATTTACATTATAATTACAGGCCTTGGATACCAAGAAGCAGTTTCTGTGTCTGTGTTGCTGTACACAGTGGGTTTCTCACCTGTGGTCCTTGGCAGCTGTCCCATCACTTACAGAGAGAATCTGTCATGCAAGTTGTCTCGCATTCTGGTTGATCACACAGAATGTGTCACTGCCAATACTCACAAGATGTTGCTGGATGAATTTGGGCTAAGGATGAAAGATCTGCAATCACTGGATAATGACTTGATGATGGCCATTGCTTATGAAAAGTTGTCTTCAACCTGGAACATCCTTGGAAGCTGCCCAGAAGGCTATTTGAAGTTAGCTTATTTGAAGTTGGAAAGCTTTTAACAGTGGTTTGGTGTACAGTTCAGAGCAGAATATCTCACTGGTCCAATTTCTCTACTCATGTGCTTTATTTTGTTAATATAAAAAATTGTTCAAGTGTGAGAGGGGTAATCAGAGATTTGGTTTGTGCCCAGAGAGGTAAAAAAGATGGTCATTGCAACTCTGTCTCCCTAGAAGGTTTGTCTGCCTTGACTCACGTGAAATGCAATTCTTTATTTATGATTAGAGCTGTTTAAAAGAAGCAAGGACTGTATCATGAAGCTTTGCAGCCATAATTCTAACCAAGTGAGATATTTGATCTTGGGAGAAAAAGATGATATTCAGAGTATGTTATTGTAGGCATTCCAATGTGCAGAGTGAACATAATTTTTGCCATTGTTCTGTCAGTGTTTATCCTTCTTTTATGACTATGGTCATTCTTTGGGGAAAATATCATTAAACAAGTTTATAAGTGTTTTTTGGTTTTTTTTTTAGTTGTAGAGGAAGTGGAATGAAAATACCTGTGAAACTTTATATCAGAGTATTCTACTGAAAAACTTCATAACAAAATCAGGTGGGATTTTCCTGGTTTCAAGTTTCATTGCAAACAAAAAACTGCAGTTAGGTTTTGCTGAAGAGTATATTTTTCTTTTGCAGAGTCAGCTGATTTATAGCTGAGAGTGGAAACTGTGTTTTACTTGATAGTTTCACAGGTTTTTCACTGAAAATTTGGTAGTTTTGGCTGTTTTCCTTTTAGTACTTTAAATTGCTGAAAATTAGAAGACGAGCAGTTTCCATGTCAGCCAAACTGAAAGATATGCTTGCAAGCTTTTGGGAAATAAAAACACATCAGTTAAGCTCATTTCTTTGGGTATCTGAGCTTTTTTCACATCTTAGTCTTTCTAGTTCTTAATGACAGATAACTTAACACCTGAGGAATGCTTTTTGTCCGTCTGTTGCAAACAACCCCTTTAACATTGGGTAAGGGATTTTTTCACATCTTAGTCTTTCTAATTCTTAATGACAGATAACACCTGAGGAATGCTTTTTGTCCGTCTGTTGCAAACAACCCCTTTAACAGATGTAAAATCAAATACTAAGTCTTGTTCAAATAGTGGCTAGACAGAACAGGGAAAAAAAGGGCTGTTAGTTGTTTCATTTTGATGTGGGGTAAATATTTGTTCAACTTCTCGAAAAACTGTTGTACTTTTGCAATGAGGACCTTGTATCAAAGCCTGGAGAACCGCTGCAGTTTTTTTCACAGGCTAATTTAAGCATTTCATTAGCTGAAACCCAACCCAGAAGCATCAGCAGGATGCCGGGGGTACTGAGAGATGCTTGGGCATAGCCAGCTGGGTACCTGCTTGCTTGAAACGTGGGGAAAAGTTATCCTGGTTTTGTTGTAGGCCCAGAGAGTCAGAGGTCAACTGCTATCCACATAGCAAAATTCTTTAATTTTCAGTTGTGCTAATTGTTAATTTTCAGGTGTACTGCAGTGTTTATATGGAAAAAGAATATGTTGCCTGTGCAAGACTTTTATAGATCTTGTATTTTTTGTTTCTATGTATTTTTCATAATTTGTTCACTTTTCAGATTAAAATACTATACATAAATGAAATTTCATTGCCGCCAAAAAAGTTGGGATATGTGCCCCTATTGGCATACAGAGTCTCTGTGAACATTTGAAGTGTTAGACAAGCATGTCTTCAGCATACTGTGGTGGGGTTGCCTCATGGGCACAGCTGCACTTGAAGAAGTGACATCTCTTTTTGTACAACAGATGCAGCTCTTATATGAAGCCAGGGTCTTTTGCCTGGCTTCTGAATAAACAAAACAAATTCCTGGGACCTGGTAGTAATGCTCATTTACAGTGGGATCTGTCAGTGCACTCCTGCATGAGCAGTGCTTGGGCCCACCCTTGATGGGGAACTCCTGAAAGCTTTCTGGACAGCTTTTCCTTCAGCCCAAGGGAGGTTGCTCCTTCCCTGTGTCTCTCTCTGAGGTCCAGGCTTGGGCTGGGCTTCATATCTATTTTGCTGTCCTTTAGGCAGTCTGTATAATTTTTCTTTAACTTCTCTATCCTTTCTCTCTCCTTTTGGAAAGTATAGTTTTGATCCTCTCTCCTGACTCAGAGAAGCACCGACTGGAGTTGCTTCCTTGTGCTGTCCCCATCACTGTATTTTTGTCTCTAAAGCCAAGCAAAGCTGAGGGCAGTCTGTGGCTGAGGGAGGCCTGTGCACAGAGGGGAAGGAGAGGGAGGAAGAAAGGGATGGACTGACACTGGAGAGCTTCAGTTGTCTCCACATGAGGAGAAGTCCTTAATCTTCAACAGTGAGGTGTTCAAGGGTTATCCCTGTACTCTTCTACATGCTCTGAAAGTTCAAAATGGGTGAGAAACAGGATCTAGAAATCTATGAGTATTTAGAAGTAGAATGAGAACTTTCCCTACCTGCTGTCCCTACAACTCCTTGTACCAAAGATCGGAGGTGTCTTGTCACTTGACATTATCAGAATGTTCTTTTTAATATGTCAGAATGTAAAGATGTGGGTGCTAGCATCCATCACTACTTAGGACATAACACTTTTGCGATTTAGTCAGTTTTCAGAGCTGCAGGGCTCTTTTTGTTGGAAAGAATACTTTTGAGTGACATGTTGCTGGAGAAAACTATTACACCATATGCTGTTTTTTGACTCATTGCTTTTTATGAGGATTTAGAAATGTAAGGGTTGATGGAATGATAGAGGAACTCTTTAGTCATAGGAGTTTTGGTATTCAGGAAAAATATTTGTATTCCTTTTATAAGGTATAAGAAGGATTGGATAAAGAGAGACAAAAGATTGTCTAGAGAATATTGCAAATAATTTAGGAATTTTGTGTAGTTGCGCAGGTCAGGAGTTATTTGCCACATTATAGGAAGTTGAACAAAAGAAACGAGAAAGCATGACCCTTTTTGTAATCCTCACTTGCAACAGATGTCTGTGTGACAGCTGTGACAAGAGTTGCTCACTCCCACAGAGTGGTCAGATACTGAGATTAGCATCTTGGTGCTGAAGAAAACTGGGGACTCAGCACAGGTGCTGTACTTAGACATTAATTTGTTGGTGGGTTTCAGGAAGGGGGAAGGAGGGGTAGGGAGGAGGGAGAGGGAGAAGCTGATTTTGTCTATTGCACCTTGATAAAGAATATTTTCTTTCTGAACTGGGTTATTGAATTTATGGAGACAATCAGTATTAAACAATAAGCTAAAGAAATTGTTAGTTCTGCCAGAAAAAAAAAGGACAAGAGAATTTTCTCACAGTATTTTTGTTTACCAAAATAATTTAAAAGAAAGGGAAAGATGCAAAGAAGGAAGAGAGGAAAGAAAGATTAAAAATAGAGAAAAAGAGAGAAAGGAGAAATTAATCTGAAAGAGAAAAATGCTTCCAAGTAACTCTTTTTTTTTCTTAGCACTGTCAGGTTATGGCAGCCTTCCAGTACTGGCAGTCCCAAGAACCATCAGACATAGGTTCAGCCTGCAGCTTTTTTATCCTTGACAAACACAGGTTTACACTTCTCAGTTGTCAGAGGGTGAATGGTAGCACAGGAGAGCACTTTACAAACAGTGTATATTATGGACAAGAAGCTGAGGGCATCTTAGTTTCTGATTGTTTTGGGGGCCCTGTCAAGAGAGTGAGTTCTTTTTGTCTGGGTTACTTAACTGTGCTGGTAAACAAAGAATACTTGCTGCCAGCTTTGCCACCATTTACAGTTATTTTCAAAAGGAAGACTGCTCTTTTAGGTTTTTGTCTATTCATAGAAGTAGTAATTTTACAGCCTGAATTAAGAAAACTAATTGTGGATTGTAAAGAAGGAAACCGTGTTTAGTTCCCTTTTGTGAACAAGAAGATTTTCCTTTTTATTTCATAAATGCATTGTAATTGTTTTCTCGGGATAGGTCTTGTGGAATGAACTGAGCTACCATGTTGCTTTATGTCTTGCTTTAGAGTCTGCCTTTGAGGGACACTTTCCCATTTTTGGTGGCACTTTTTCCTTTATGGCCCTTTCCTTCCCCTTTTCTTTGTAAATCCTCTTTTCACTTGGTATTACACATATTCCTTCTAAATTGCACCAACTCAAACCTGACTGGTGCATATCATGGTTTTGATGTAAATTCAAGAAAATTCTGTGCTTCTCTTCAGCTGGCATTTTAGATTTTTTTTTTTTCCAATGGAAGGAAATGGAGAGGAGTGAAAAGTGCCTGTTCTTCTTCCCAGAATTAGAGAAACAGTGGGAATGGTGGATAAGTGTGCCTAGGTCTGGTGAGATTTGTGAGGAGAGGTAATTGTATTTTAGTCAGATAATTCAGGAAGTTAGAGAAACAGATAAATCTTTGGCTCAGTAGGAGTTTGTCCTTTTGGAAACTGTGCCTGAAAGAGGGAGGAGGATGCTGGCCTGTGTGTTGTGAAGCAGATGTCTTCTAGAGCCTGCTGCTGACCCAGAAACCTGCCTGGGGCAAGATATTGTCAAGCACGCTTCAAGCTATGGGTTTCCAGTAAGTGTATGGTTCTCATCTCCTGGTCAGTGGAAATGATGGCAGAGAGGAGGCTTTTGAGATCCCTTTGACCATGAAGAGGCTTTTTGGGAAAAAGCACCGAGCACTTGGAGATATGCAGAGTGACAGGAGAGTGAGTGTTCTAAGGGATACAGAAGATAAAGTTTCCTATTGAAGACAGTATAGAGAAGTGGGGCTCTGGAGCCACCCTACTGCTGAAGAGACCAGATATGAAGCTGTGATCTGACCCAGACCTCAGCCTTTAGTTGGCACTGGGCTGGAGAGCCCTGCTCTTCTCCTGGCTGAAAGGCTGTCCCAGCTGGTATTCTGCACTTGGCTGGCCCTCAACAAAGAAGTGTCTTACACCAGATGCCTCGAGGGAGTGTTTGGCTGCAGTACCAAGGGATGAGGAGTATCCCTCCCAGCAACCAGACACCATCTCCTGTAGTGTTTTGCATCACAGAATCAGCTGGAACTTCATCTGAGGTGTAGGTGGGGCACCATGATGCATAGGGCTGGTGGATGGGAGCCTTTTCTGGCCCTCCTGCTGCTAAAACTGCTGGGGCAAAATTCCCTTTGCAATGAACCTTTACCTTCTCTCCTCTCTTTTTCTTCTGTAGGATTGATGCTAGTCTCTGGGAGCTGGTTCACGTGGATGTGCTCTCAAATGGTCTGTCACATACCTGACTTCAAGCATTGCAGCCTGATGTCCCTTAACAAAACCACTTGTGTGGGTTTTTGCAGAAGTGGGGTGCACTGGGAACAGCTTTATAAATAATCTCATTCCTAATGGAGAAACGAAAAAATTAGCAGTAATGTATAAAAGTATGAAGCCAGGAAAAAAATTGAATTTGTCAGCCTGTTTTGATGTCTCCCCCTTCTTTTCAGTCTTAGAGTTTTCAGGAAATGAATGAGATTCAGAGCCCAGAAGGGGCTTAGTCATTTCTGTCAGAGAGAAATATTTGGTTTTAGTTTTGTTTTTTGGACGTAGGAAGGGATTCAGGTGCAAGGAAGAACAAAAGGATTTCTTTTAATGTTGAAAACAAACTGTTTGGCTCAGCTCTGTAACCCAAACAGAATGTTTTGGCTGGAAAACAGAGATGCAATGCAAAACAGTCTTGATAGTGCCTGTTGTTTACAGCCCCACCTACCTTGCAGTAGCTGACCCTGTCTGAATCAGCCAGCAGCATGTCCTTCAGATCACAGGAGTGGTTTTGTTTGTGCATTGATGGAAAATCAAATATCCATTGAAATTAAATAGCATTTTATACCATTTAAATATGAATATGTTGAAGAAGTCTTGTGTTTTCCTTTTTTTCCTTATTTTGTTCCAGCTTGCCACAGAATGCAGTTGAATTAT